AGTATCTCTGGAATTAGTGGATCAGACATTCCATCAAACACCTTTTGGGTGCGGGAATGTCTGGATTCATTTTCCAGTTGATCAGAAAGGAACAAGCAATAAGCGCAACTAATCCAGAAGGGATTCAAACAATCTAAACTCAACCATCTAAATCGACTAAGACAACCACGACTACTCTATCCCATCCTCAGAAATACAATTCACTACTCAGACATAATAAAAAACAATAGCAATGAAACGATAGAAAATATGATAACAAGAAATGATAAAGACTGAAACAAAAACTGAATTATAAAATTCTTGAAAGCGAATACAAAGTCGCAGGAAAAACACACTGCGGCTCTGAAAACAAGTCTAGGTAAAAACTGAAAATAAAGACTGGATGCCCTAGGGAAAACCCTTAGAGGCTGCTTATATAAGCGAAAAAAAAGGTTAAATAAGGAAAGTTCAGAATAGTGGTCTTCACAACGAGACTTTGCGATCAAGCATCTGATGGGCTGAAATGGGCTTCCCTGTGATCGAGTGAAACTGATCAAACTGGGCTTCGGGAACTCCGTCTTGCGATCGAGTGGTCTGTAGTGAAGACGAGATGGAATGGTCCAGCGACCTTGCGATCGAGTGGTGCGATCGAGTAGATGATGTGAGGTGGTGATCGAGTGGTTTCTTCAGCTTCTCTTCTCTTCCGTATGCTCAGCTTGTCTGGTTGAGTGAGGAATGAGTAGATGGGCTTCTGATGACAAGGTGGTGATCGAGTGGTGTAGAGTGGGTGATCCCTCCGGGCTTGCGATCGAGTGAAACTAAGCTGCTGGCTTCTCCGGGGTTGTGATCGAGTGATATGTCCTTCATGACAGCTTCTGCTCGATCTTGCGATCGAGTGGTTTCTTCTGAAATTGCTCCGGGGTTGTGATCGAGTGGTTTTGCCCTTCATGACAGTTTCTGGGGTTGCGATCGAGTGCTTTGCTCTGTCAGGACTCCGAGGTTGCGATCGAGTGCTTTGGCTGAGGGAGTGATTGAGCGTTCTGAATTTCTGTTCTGTTTCTCCTCTGTTTGAACTCCAAAAGCATCCAAAGTACCTGAAAACAACCAAATATGCGATGCACATGCAATCCTAATGCAAAAACGTCCTAAGTATGCAAAACACACTAAAACGACTACTAATGAGATGAAATGTGATTGAAACAATGACAAAGTGATGAAGAATGAATGCTTAAATCATGCAAATTATAGACATATCATTTACCCAACATACGAAGAAGCTTGTCGGGCACATGGGATATTAGAAGAGTGAAGAAACAATTATTATTACGAATCTATGTATCTCTATATAAAGTTTATTATTATAATATATAAAACATTTTATATGAATTATGGACTTCTTTTTTGGTATTTGTTTATATGCGGAGAGTCCAGTCACACTTGCAAGAATTTAACGCGTCATGTCATGAAATAAGTTTATCCTCGCCATAGTATAGACACCGTGAAGCGTAATTTCTATCGACGCAACAATTTATACTATTTTGAGTTCGAAAGCAAATAGTAATTAGGGCTACTTTATAATGGTAATCTCTTTTTTGGAAAGATCAAAACAAAGTAAGCTTACATTTTAGATATATTCAACTTTTAACATATTTTAACGAAATCCGAATTAAAAAGGAATATATTACATATATCTCTATAATCATACGAAACTTATATTGAAAATAGATTTATAACAATAATATTGATCATAAATATCATATTAAGGACGTCATTATATGGTTATAACTTTCATTTATCAAGTGTATTTACGTTTTAATACGTATACAGTAGTAGCATTATATTAATTACGATATGTATATATATCAATATTTTTAATGCATATACTTGTACGCATGCACATATATTTATCAATATCATGTATAATTTATGTCTGTCATGAGTGAACAAAAACGACGATAGATGAGGTTGACGTTCAAATATCTAACGATAGTACGATATAATCCCACATCGGGACGGTTGACTAAAATAAATCACTTACGTTTAGATATAAAATGGCAACATAAAATATATAAATTGCATCACTGGAATATTTAAAATCTTGATATTTCTGCCTACAAAACTTGTATAATAATAAAAAAACCAAGTAAAAATTAAAACACATGCAAGTATCAATGCATAAAAAATAAAACCAGCACATTAGCTCCGTAACCAATACTATCAGCGGTTCTCACTTACGGGTAAAGAACCTCCGCATCACCAAAAACTCAGGACATTCATGATCGAAGAAGAATTGAGTGCACGTGCAAGCTGTAGTAGCAGTGACGTTGCCTATAAAATAAAATAACTCGAGTTTAACACAAACAGGGAAATCTATATAAATATTATTTGTAACAATGCAATGGTAGGACCTTCGACGACTTCCAATTTAGCGAATCTGACGATGAGAATTTGGAAATCACCAATCCATTTCTTCCGTTCATTCATAAACGAATCAACAAAGACATCCGGCAATCGAAAAATTAGACGTACACCACTTAAGCACGAAAAAAGAAAATGAGTCACATCCGTTCCGTTTTAATATTATTATAAAGAATTTAATTCATACCTTCGGTCTTTCATCTGAAAAAAAAAAGCGATGGTTAACACGATTCGACTCCGATCGTCGAAAATCAAAAGTAACCAGAAGGCGCCCAATCAAATCTGTGCGTTTCAATATACAGAGGGTGATAAACAATCCAAATTAAAAATACTTTAAACGATGTAACGCACAACACTTACCAACACAGAAGCAAGGATTTAGGTGTCCTTCTTTGATATCACTAAACTTCGCGAAATGGAAATTATCACTTTGAGAGAAAGGCCTTATTAAATTGACCGAAGTGAGAGCGTTTGAACCAAGTCGAAATCTATGCGAAGACGGTCTAAACCTTCCGAGAGCCATTCGTACAACAAAGTCGGATAAAATTATGCAATTGCCTTCTATGAGGATAGATGAGAACCGTTGCGCGACGTCCCCACCAATTACAGCATGTATCTTTTGACCCTAATGAAACAAATAAAGGACTAATTAGTATACATACAGTATAAACGTTTTGATGATAGTATATAATTATGTACCTTTGGATCTTCCAGTACGAATTCCACGAACCTAGCGCCATACGCAGGACACACGAACCTCCTAATAATTCTCACCTTAACCCTCATAGTAACCATGCCGGGGCCTAAGTCAGCAAAATCAACACAAACATCCGGTTGGTCTCCGTCACTTGTGATATCGTGTGAGGAATTTTGAGACATTTTACGACTGAAGAAACAGAGAGAATGCTATCTAATCGATCAAGAGGTGATCGTTTAGGGGACACGCGCACCTTTATTTATACCCAAATAAAGAGGTTAATAATTAATAAATAATGTCAGGGATATTCATTGGTCTCACGGTCTACGCAAATTAACATTATATTTAAAAAATGCCATAACAGTATCTTATAACATTGGAATTTTACCTAATTAGATTCAAACGATTACAATAAATTCGATATAATATCCTTTTATGCTATCAGAATATATTGCTCACCATGGAAACGCTAGATAGCCACACGATATTGTCGCTGGACAAAACTGCTATTTTTACCATTATGTAAATCGTATAAAGTTAAGGTTTATCGAAACAGTTGATTTGTTACTATCACATTTTAAAAAAGGCAACTTATTTTTCCGCATAAATTGATATTGTTAATATCCCTAATCTTATATTTTCATCGGCCTAAACAATCTTATATTTTATTTTAAAAATCTCATAACAGTATCTTATAATATAGAAATCTTACTTTATTGGATTAATCAGAATATAATAGATTCGATATTCTATCTTTTTCTGTTATCAGAATATATTGCTTACTGTAGGAATGCTAGATTCCAAACCAATATCATCACTGGGCAATATTGCTGCTGTACTATAATGTCAATCGTATAAAGTTAAGGTTTATCGAAATCGTTGATTTGTTACTATCCCATTTTTAAAAAAATGCGAATAGAAACAATACACCATACTCTGAATTACGCAAATCAAATAAGATTTCAAAACATCCTCCGGAGGAGCCGACTAAAGGAACAAAATATAATTCACTCACGTTCTCGACCTTACCAACAACATCTATAAAAAGAACAAAAGAAGGTAAGCAAATAAAAAGTAGGTGGTACACAATTACTAACCCAAAAAAAAATATATATATATATATATACAAATCTTACCACGAACACTATATAAATTTTGAATTAGTCATATATATTTCCATCTTCCAAATCCACTTTATTAGGACCACATGCGTGACAACGGGCCGAAAAGAGAGAGAGAGAGAAATCAATTTACTAACTAACTGTATGATAAAGTATGACGATTAATGCGTTTGCATAAAAGAATACACCAACTACTAACATTAAGAACTTAAACCAAATCGTTCGAATAAAATGCCAAAGCCAGAATAAGAAATCATTAGTAATAAATGTGAAGCCAAAAGCATACAAAATCCATTTTGAAAACTAATCGTCCGCTTCCCGTCTAGCGTAAAACACATCCCTCATTCTTGTAACTTCAACACATCGATAATTTAGCAAAATCCTGGTACATGTGTATACAGTGGTAGCTCTCCAGAAATCTAATAACCAAACAAAGAATAAACAAAAAAACAATAACGCATTAAATAAATTGAACACAAATAAATAATATATTTAAATCCAGCACACGACAGAAAAATAAAAATCACATGCAGGAAATGTCAATCGAATTACCTCGAGTAACTTCTAGCCTCGCGAACCTCAATACACATATGATGATGTTATCAAGACAATTCCTCCATTCGTTAAAGAACGCATTCGAGTATTCATTTGGTAAACGACACTGCAAACGCTCTCCCCTTGAGACCAGAGTGTTATAAATATTTATATATTAATATATATAAATAAATATATCCACAACAAAACACACAATAACAGTAAAAAAAAACATTTAACAACAAAGAAACTCACTCTTCGTTTTCCAGTTCCAAAAATAACTCGTTCCAATCAGAAGCAGGTGGGCCGGACTCTCTTCCATTACCAACCCTCACGACACGTCCAATTAGATCTACATATCAAATTGCACACGATAATATTAAAACGAAAAGCAAAACAATCTCCTACATCAACACATGATAAAATATTATTAATTACACTAAACACATTAACAATAAGAAAATTTGATATTACCAACACATAAAGTAGGGTCCAAAGAACCACTTTTGATATCCTCGAAAGCGACAAACGAAAAGAAATCAGCGGAACACAACGGTCGAATGTCCTTAATCGTTGTGCCTGAGTTCCATACAATCTTAAAACGATGGGGAACCGGTCTAAAAGCTCCTGTAACAGGAACCAAATCAAAATTAGTTATACTTATCCAATTGCCCTCAACAATTTTCAAAGTGCGCCGATCCTCATACTCCTTGTTTATTACAGCATGAATCTTTTGACCCTAAGACGAAAAAATGAAAAAAGGCATGTCAATCGATAAATAATAGATTACCAGAAAATTACGAAGAAACATTAGATTGGATACAGATCAAGACAAAGCCCAATATACATTAGTTTACCTTTTCATCCACCAATATTAGTTCCAACGTCTCATACAAATAAAACTTTCTTAGTATTTTAACTTTAATCTTCCTGATGGCATTAGAGAGAAGATGAGCCATAATAGAAACAAATTTTGCGGAATAGAGAAAAGTGCGAGAATATTATTTATTATACATATATATATATATATATCAAGTATAATATATATACGCGAGTATTTAGTTTAGGAAGATTCACAAATATAAAATATAGAAATTGAACAATATCAACATACTAAATAAAACAATTTACTTTTTTTTTATCAAAACAATTTACTTATGATAAGATAAATCTCCACTAAAACAGAATCTATCATAAAGAAAATCTTCACTAAAACGGAAAACTATCAAATATTATCGAAAATAAATTCAACCTTTTATCTATATATATTTTTAAAATATATATATATATATATATATATGTAATCTATCTATATATATGACCGTTTAAATCTAGCGACCATGGTTGAAACTAATTACAAAACATACCATCATTCATAAAAACAGAAGATTATCATATGTCAATACGATAATATATCAATACCGCATAAAGGAGAATATTATTCTAAGTTCATATTCATACAAACCAAGATGATCGGAGTACAAAACCAAAAACAAACAGTTAACATTTCCGATATTCACAAAAGAGTCACACGGGCAACGTCCAGACGAATCACACTACACATCCACCGTTAATGTCCTAGTTCGAATCACTTGTCTCACCAACACATTAAGACCTAAGACAAAGCAGCCAAACAAAAAATCAGATATAAAAACAAAAAAATAAAAAATAAAATAATAATGAATATAGGAAATGACTACCGACATAGTGCAAAATTCAGCAGCCTCAGGAACATCAGGATATGGCAAAACCTTAGAAATCAGCCCCTGGTTAACAATCCTAACATTCTTTGGTCCATCGAAATATCTGTCTACCTTCCACAGACGCATAATACAGACCAAAGGCTTCGAAACACACAAGTCATAGTGCTTTCGGAACTCCATCGCTGATCGTCCCGACACCAAACCATCGATAGCATTCCCGCTTTATATTTATTCAAGAAAACACAAACAAAACAAAAAAAATAAAAATGATATAATTAACATTTAACACCAAACAGGACAATACCCAGACAAAATTCACAAAGGGAGAAAATATCTATTTACTAACCAAGGCCCACGAATCCGAAAGCTCAGTCTGAAGCCAGTGAGATCTGATGGATTTGTCCCGACATTCACCAATTCACCAACATCAGACAAAACCCCGATCAAATCTAGTTAAGAAACAGACACAACTATAATTCAGACAGGTATTTCCAAACACAACAAACAAAATGAGCATTATATATAACTTACCAATCAAGACACTCTCGTCAACCGTTCCGTCAATTATCGAACTGAACGGAGTAAAGGAGTCACGGGGTTCAGTCGACGGTGGATCGGCGGGAAGAACGACAGTCGTTCCAAAGACAGACATTCTGAAATGATGATTGGTAAGCCTGACCCTATCAGAGTTCTCAAGAACACGAAACTCCGTAAAAGAAAACCATCGATCTTCCTTCAAAAACTCAGCATAATGTTTCGCATATTCACTATTAATCCAACAATCGATCTTAAAACCCTAGACACACGACATAGTCTGTTTAGTAACTAACACGAATTAGCATTTTAAAATCAAATCTATACAGAACAAAACCAAAGTACCTTATCATCCACCAGAACCAAACGGAGAGCATTCCGAGGATTTATGCAAACAGTAATCATGCGCAGAACCTTCACTCGTATGTGCCAACCCGTAATACAAGGGCGCAAAATCGAAACATCATGGAAGTAAGCCATGGTAAAGGAAACAACTAAAATTGATAACTGGTTATAGATACTTCAATAAGAAATATCGATAATCCGAAAAGACGAAGCAAGAAATCGAAGAGTTTTTTTTTTCTCTGTTTTTTTTTTTTAGAAGTAGCAGCGTGAATTAATGAGTGGAATTGGAAGTATATTACAACTAATATAGAAATCAATCTAACGTAACATCGATTACTGAATAATCAATAATTAAATAAAAATATTTTTATCCGTTCAGAAATGACAACACAAGTCATAAATATCCATATTTCGGCTGTGCAATTATTACAAACCATGCAAGATATGACAACACAAGTCATACATCAAGTAGTTTAGATAACCTCAACGAATCTAAAGATAAAGACATATTCAAAACTCGAACACAAAAGATAATTGTTACAAAGCCCAAATAAATATCTCAACATGACATAATAACATAACACAAGAAGAAGAGATTTTTACAAAAAGAAATTAAACCAACAGAAGAGGGTATCCATGTTTATGCACTCTACGGAAATAGGGATACAATTCTTGATTTACACCAAGATCATTAAAAATTGTGATCAACAACTTCACCGGCGTCATCACAATCCTCACCTTCTTCAATAGCCCATGTTGCCCTAGCTATGAAAACAGACCTGAGAATTAAATTTATTAAATTAAACAAAATAATAAATTTGAATCCATAACAAAATCAAACTACATATATAAACACTAAAAAATCACAATAATCATTTACATCATCCTCAAGTCCTTGATCTCCGGTAATGTTGGCTCAAGATATATCTTAGAACAACCAATTCTGGTGGAGATAGAAGGTTCACCTATAGCCACATCAACACAATTTGAATAAGCCCTTTATATATATTATCTATAATAGATTCGACATCAATACACCAAATGCATACCCATGAACTCATCGACTTTCCAGAAACGCAACACACAGAAAACAGGTTGATAACGGAATGAAGCCTGGTAGCCTCGGCTTGTCCACACATTCATAAAATCAGCAGCATAATGACCAAGCGCAAAACATGGCAGCTCCCTACCTCTGTTTTATTAATCACCGTTTCAAAAACACCTAAGATCAGTGACAGTCTTTAAATAAACTCTACATAATCACAAAAAAAACCAAGAATAACCATGGACAAAATATAGCACCAAAACAAAATCAAATTCATAGACTTACTTCTGATCCATGAGACGGAAATATAGATAATTGCATGCAGTACTTGCATCATACTCTCCGGGAACATAAGTCATCCTTTTAATTTCGGACACATAGACCACAACTCCACATAAATCTAGCAAACTCACAAAAAGAACACAAAAATAATTAGTTTCTAAACATACATGATTACAAAAGAGGTTTCTAACAACACAGAACATCTAACAAATAAAAAACTAAAGATACTTCAAACAATAATAGAAACCAAAAATGAGATTAGCTAATAAAAAGAATGTGACACACCAAAGGGACGATTTGCCTCCAAAAGCCTCCTCTTAATGACAGAATATTTTGCAAACACAAAAAAATTGAGCGAGTATAGATTATAAATCAATGTCATCTTTGTATCACTGTGGAACTTGATATGGAAAGGGTGAAGTGTGTTCGGGGTCCTCCGGATCGGAACAAAAACAACAAAGTCAGAAATAGTATACCACGCATCTTCCCTTAACTCCCTCATATCAACGTTATGGAAAGGACCACAACCGATTGTACCCTCAATTTTTGTCCCCTAGGTACATGCAAAACAACAAAAATCAAATATTTCTTAACACAACTAAACAACAAATCACAAACCAAAGACAAATAATCCTTAAAGATTTACAATAAAATAAGCAAAACTATAAAAATAATCTAGTAGATCCACCCAAAATCAACAAACTAACCGATCAAAAGAAAAAACGACAAAGACACACGCACCTGCTCGTCGGCAAGAAGCATTTCTGTTTTACACCTAAATCCGTAGATGCGAACCCTCCAAAGACTCAGAATCTTTACCCGAACGTACTTAACCGTCCTACCTCGAGCAAGATTAGAAAGGTAGATTTGCTCGGACATCTTTGAACGAAACCACCGCCCAAGACCCTCAGTTTTCTTTTAGGAATCAGAGAGAGATAGAAAATCTCGAAATAAATGAACCAATTGTTTACAGTGCACATACACGGTGGAAATTGAACTAAGCAGTCATAGCCACAAATTTTTAAATTTTAAAAATATCTTTTTCCTAATAACTATTTAAAACATAAGAATAGCAACAAAATAATATTAATAACTATGTGAATCTCTAGATTATACACAAAACAAAACTCACACCATATTAAGATAGATAACGCCAATAAGAATAATTCGAACCATCGCTAATATGATATAATGAGTTAGATCGACATAAATTTTTAAAACAGAATATTAATCATTAACTAAATAAAATATATAGAAGCCAAAATAAATAGCAACAAATTCAAATAAAATAATTACTCATCATCAGAGTCTTCAAATATAGGCCCCGATCCAAAATTTGGTACGGTTTGATCAATACCAAACACCAAAGGATATGATCCGTATCTATCAACAGATACATCACTACCCTTAGCAATATAACTAAACAACAAATAGATACTGCTGTAACTCCTAGCTTTGCTTCCAATCTCAGTCCTCTACATCAAAAAAAAAAAAAAAAAAAAAAAACCCCAAAAATAAGTAGACAATAGAAAACAAACAAATAATTTAGAAAACACGAAGACATCTATAATAATAGGACATAGGATCTAACAAATACGTAAACTACACACAACATACCTCTTTCAAAATATTCGGTCGCAATGAATACTTCAGCCAACTCAAAACCTTTACAAACAAACAAAACAATTAAAATCATACCTTATAGAATGGTAAGATATTCTGATGTCTATATATACAAGTCATGACACATAAGACAATAAGAGAACAAACATACATGCTTACAAAAGCCCACGCGATCCGTAAAACACGACGGAGCAACAACTCTTCTACGCCAATCCCGTGTGGTCTAAAACATCAGAGAAACAAATATATAAATTAAACATAAAACGATTATTACGTTACATAATAAATACACAAGATTCGACAAAATACCTTATTAAAATAAAACATATCATTCGTGCATCTTCGGGAGAAGGAAACACCAGCGGTTACCTAAGCCAACGGTACGAAATAAGAATAACCCGTAACATTTGATTATCGCGAAATATATATACAAAAAACAAAAGCCAAATCATCATTTAAAAGTTAGAAAATTAATATCAAACTAAAACCGATCCACAATAACCAACATATTAGATACAAATAAGAGAAATACCTGTTTCCAATAAACCGACACAAACCGAGATATGAGTTCATCGAGTACCTTCAAAATCACGGTAAGATGAAAATCAAACAATAACATGTCAAACCTTGCACATAAACTCAAAACTATTTGACAATTTAATTATAAATCAATACTAAAAAATAAAACGCAATAAAATCGCATATAAAAGTATATACGATAACAGGAAGAAACACATAAATGTATATGGGTAAATAAATATAAAAATATACAAATTAAAACTATAGAAGTACCTCCCCAAACCTCGCTCTTTGCTCGTCAACACCACCTTCGTCAGAGAGCTTTGTCGATGGAACCTCCCACGTTATACAAAACTGAAACACACACCAAAAACACCAAACTAGCAAAATAATAAATCATCGAATAATGCAAAAAAATAAAACAAACAACACAAACAATATGCACACGACCTTTAAAGGTCCATGAAAACAATATTTGCATGACAAACAACTCGATTCATCAGAATCGTAGTAGCTATATAAAAAAACCATAACGGTGAAAACTATCTAATGGCCACAGAAAAATAATACCTAATCCTCTGGCCGATCAACAATATATATAGCTTTAAGATTAGGGCAAACATCAATCATTATCTTAAGAAATTTAACTTTTTAATTAGAAACAAAATCAGAAAACTAACAAAAACGAATTTTAACTGCTAAGTTATAGAATTATCCAAAAAATTAACAAATAAATTTAAGCTAAGATTCCATAATCATTAAAGTCGAGATATTATGACCTCCATATCCCCAACGATCATACTATAAAATAAATAAAAAATTAAGGGTGATTAAGACTAATCATCACAAAACACGATTAGACTTATATACCCTTAACAACTAAGAACAAAAATTTTCGAATTGAGGGTGTTTAGGACATTATTATAGAGATCAACACACGATTAGACTTATATACCCCTAATTACGAAGAAGGAGAAATTTCGAGAAGAACAATTAATTAAGGGTGTTTAGGACAAATCATTCTAACTTTTAACCACAGGCCTCCAATGCCCTAACTTTCAATATGGTGCGTTTCTACTTCTCAATTAATTATTGTAGAGATTAACCTTTTCCTTTGTAAGAATTTACTTAACAATGCTATTAGAAATAAAATTTTATAGAGTAAATTAATTCAACTCATTAAGGATAAACAAGTCAAATACTATTTTATCCAATTTAATTAATTTAATTTAATTATAAAAACGAAAATCTATTATTAATTTCTTTAAAAAGAATGACCAATCAAAATGAACATATAAGATTTGATATCTAACTTACAATATTAATTTGTTATTAATCATTATACTTCACCTCTCATCTTTATATGATTCTATTTCTATAAATAAATAAATCATTATATCATCTATATAATAAAAAAAGTTATTTTTTTCCGCATATACCAAGATTTGAATTTTTAAAAATGAATATAAATTATTCAATGTATGAAAGAACAAATTTAGCTGGTCAAAAATTCATATTTGAGTAATATATTCTTTTTTTTAATATCATCAATACTTAATAGATCAAAAATTTATGAAGTATAAATACTCTAATTTAATTTTTTGAAACAAATATTTATAATAGGCGGCGGGTTGAATATAATATATTATATGATGAAATGAGTTATGATCCTTATAACTATTTGAATATTTATATTTAATTTCATATCATTTTTTTTAAAATTCATAATTTTACATACTACAATAAATTTTTTAAAAGATTTTAATTTAGAAAATTTTAAAAAAGTTTAGTAAAGAATATCATAAATATTTAATTTAATAGATTAAAAAGATAAAAAAAATTAGAAATACATTAATTTGATTTTCTAAAAAGATATGTTTAAAATATTTATAGTAAGTGGCGGGTTAAATGTAATGTATTATATGGTAGAAAGTTATGATCCTTATAACAGACAGCATTTTAAGATTTTATGATGAGATAAGTTAAATAAGGTTTGACACTTCTAAATATTTGAAAATTTGATTCTGCAAGCAATTTTAAAAATAATAAATAATAGATTGTGCCGCAATATTTTCATAGGGATTGTAAAATGAAAATATAGACTCCACACACGGATTGAATTTGGTATTATTATATACTAAATATATGTTCATAACATATTCGATTATGTAAATAATTGGTAAATTCCGTAATTAGCTCAAACAAATCTCTATTTCAACAACCAATGAATCAGAATTTGAAAAAATAATTTCCTAAATTAATTCAAAATAATAGCTAATTTTCTTAAGTAATTCAAAATAATCTACGTTTTGGATACGATTCATTTATGATATTTTGATTTTTGATCTAACTAAATTATATGCACTCTCATTTTGTGGTTGTTAACATAAATGAACTCATTGTTCAAACAATATTAATTTTTTTAAAAAATAATCTTATTTTTTGTTTTTATATCTTAAAAACAATATCCATAATTGAATACTATAGAAAAAGAAAAATATATTCATTCTAATATTATATATAGAGACTGACAAAAAAATTTTATTTTTTCACTTACTATTATAATATATCACAACTTTATTCTAAAACATAAAATTTATAAATTTTGTAGCAAATGAAATTCAATCCGTACTGTAGTACGGGTGATGATCTAGTTATAACTAATAAGATTACGAAAATGAAATAAACTAGAGGAGAAAATATTTTTTTTTTTTTAATCAATGTATGAAACAAATAACAAAATAGAAACTTGAAAAGGATAAAGTGAAACGAATTCACTTGAGTTATAGGAGCTTTTAAGTTCTGATACCAAATGATATAAGATTGGAACCAATCCAACTTATGATCACTCAATGCTCAAGAGATTCCAAGCTTAATCCCGCGGAAGGATGGAAACGATGTGGAGATAGTATGATTGACTCGCTCAATCAATGGGTTAATCGACTCACTCGATCAATGAACGAAACAAGGATGTTGAACTTATCAAAAAAATTAATCCGCATATTCAAATAGGCCTAAGAGACTCACTCACTTAAGACTAATGAACAAAAGACAAAGACTCAAACTTTGACAAGAAGAAAATGTTCTTATTACTTTAATATGATCAAAGGTCAAATACAATGAATTCGAGACTGAGCTTTTATAGGCTCATTAAAAACGGTCCTAAGAAGCTAAAACAAGAAATGAATCGCAAACATTAAAGAATAGAGCCGTTGGAGCTTTGATGAAAAAATCCGGCAAAATAAGGAAAGTAGTTGTTAGCTTGTATCTTGAAAGCTTGGGAAGGAAGGTGCGACTTCTTGGGACACTATGGTACGTGTGGAGGGTCTTTAAAACGCAGCATCATTGATAAGAAACGAGCTGTTGAGAATTAAAGCTCCTTGGATCCGAATATGGTAAGTTCGGTCTTCTCATGATCAAGTGGGGAAAGATGTACCATAGGTCATGTGGGGCAGCTTCTAGAAGGTGTAGTGGATCTCCAGGTTTCCATATATGTCTTTGGGGCATGCACAAAGGGAAAGAAAGACAAGTTTCCTTAAACAGCTCCGGGTAGGTGATGGTATGGTCGAAATGGAGGGTCTCTCGACCATCTCTGATTCTAGCTCGATGACACATATATGTTTCTCGCCTATTCTTCATGAAACTGGATTCTGGTCGGTGAATCTCCAATATGGGTCGAGTAAATATGTCGTTTGATCGGTGAACTTGAACTCGGGGCTCTCTAGGAAGGCTCTCGTGGCAACTAGATGAATTGGCTCGGTAATCTTCATTTCTGGCTCACCCAATATTCTTAAAATGTCCAAAATATTGGTGAATATTGAATATTGAACAAAGAGTTATGACTTCGGGTCGATGATGTTGTAGTTGGCTTACTCCTGGTGGGTTTTCTTGGCATTCGGGTTCATTGGCTCGGTAGTTTTTGATATCGTCTCGCCCATAATCTTCTCCATGGTTGGTGCTTAGGTTGATGACAGCATCACATCTCCAGAATCATATTGACTTTTTTTCTTTTCCGTCATTGTTTTTGTATCATTTTCCTTGTTTTGCAAATCGGTGGTGTTGAATGCATAAGTTTTTGATGGTACTAACAAAAAATATTAAGTAACATCTTATCGTATGAACTCAATCACTAACTCACTCATGAGAAGAACGATAATTATACAAATTCATGGAGATAGAGAAACTTTATAATTGTACTATACGATTAAGTTAGTTCCAACCAAATGGATGTACAGATGCGAATCGACTTGTTCACAAATGGATGTACAAATGTATTATAAATTGTGTATATTTTAAAAATGAATAATACTTTAAATTATTTTCTAAAATTGCTCCTAATTTGTTTGACCGTGACCCAAATTCCGGTGTACATATCAGTCAATTCGAGAGAGATAATGTAAACCACCTTTTAGGAAAGAAAAGTGGAAACAAGCGTTGAAAGATTTTCGAAACTAGAATTTGAATTTCATATAGAAGAGAATAAAAAATAAAAGGCATTGTAATTAAAGGTGATTCGGTAGTAGGTGGAGTACTCTTTAAAGTTTTAAACGATATCATCATTCCAAATGCCCAAAAGTAAGAATCTTATGACAAGTGTTTTACCCCACGGAGATTTGCTTACTGTTTGTTGGTCATTTCGTCATATTTCGTTTTTTCATAATCTCTAAGAATAAGTTGGGTAATTTACGACATCTAAAAAGGATTGAAAGAAAAGTTTTTAAATTCCCTACAAGTAGTCTGAATCACAAAAACACTCGAAACAAGAGGCAGAGTTACAAAAAAAAAAAAAACACTATTACATATGTGTTTTCTATACAATAAACCTCAAAAGTCATAATAATCATCATCAAAACAAGCAACGTCTAGAGATGAATCATGATTTGTGGAGTAATACAATGCAATTTCTAACTTAAAGAAAATAAAACAATAAAAATCCTTTGAATTACCAACACCATTAGGCTTTAAGAGGCTTTGTAGATTTGGCAGATTTTCTCTTGAGGACAATGACCCAAGTAACAACTTCCAAGAGTAAAGTGATGCCTCCTAAGGTCCCAATCACCGCGATATAAGCCGTCTTGTAAGTATGCTTCGGGTTCAAGATGCTAAGACCTTTGAAAACATTGATGATTCCAAGGATGACGATAGAGTATCCAACTCCGTGGTGGTAAATATTCCAAACGTATCTAAACTTGTGGTCCTTCCTTGGCCGCAACAGCATCGCAAACATCTTTAAACACGCGCAAAAAGACACAAAGCATAATTCAATAACAGAACAAAACATAACTTTTTAATTGGCTAACTTGCAATATCCACTAATATAACAAATAACACTCTTTGGTCCTAATGACGATTAATTAGCATTAGTTTACCTGAAGAGTGGCCAAAGAGAAGAGACTGATGCCTATGTTCCGGTGAGTGTTGTGCTGAATACCTTTAGATTCGGAACCGAGCTTGAGTCCGGTGGCCCATCCGGCAACACCGATGGCGTAAGCGGAGAATTGGCATGACACGTGGAGGTAAAACCAAGCAGGATCTGCTGATTCAAAGATTCTCATGTACCTAGCTATCATTGCTCCAATCGGAAATAGAAGTCCCCAACTCACTGCGTTCAATATCCCATGGATCTGCCAATTTACACAATCAAATTATTGATTCTTCTTGAAATTTAAAGAGAAAATGATTTCAAAAACAAAAACAAAAACAAAAATCAAAATCAAACTCACGTACGTTTCTCTTGTGAATTCTAGAGTTGCCGGCACCGCCGCCTCCGGAGACAGGGACGCCGGTGGTGGCCCCGGTTAAATCGAGAGCTCCCATTGCGTTGAGATTGGGACCACTGAAATCATGAGGCTGTATCCTCCCATTAGACACTCCCGGACCGACCTGCCAAACCTGGTTAACCTTCCCATTCGCCGCTAAATCTGCCGGAACCTTCACCTTCGCAAAGATTCGCAAAGCTCCACCGTCATTAGCCGCCTCCTCCGCCTTAACATCCCACACGTCAAAGGATAGCTTCGAGGGAACAAGAGAGCTGTAAGAGACGATATTAAGGGTCGTGACAGAGGCAACGCCGGTTTTAGGGTCCTTAGAGGCAACGAGGGCTTGAGATCCAGCCATGCCGGTAGATTTAGGGTTAATAGCCCAAGCGATCCAGCCACCAGGTTTTGAAGGTGGAGCAGAGAAAACAACGGCGAGAGTGGTGTTAGATGCGTCATAAGAGTAATGGAGAAAGGCTTTAAGATCAGGGAGGTCAAGGCAGTGAGGGTAAGATCTGACGCCGGAAAATGTCTGTGACGAACAAGAAGATGACTGTGACACAGCCGGTGAGAGTAGCAAAGCCCAGAAGACAAAAGAAAGAGAGATTCTAAGGTAAGAAGAATCCATGATGAATGATGATGCAAAGAATTGTTGTAGTAACGGTTAAGTAATGGTCGGAAATAAATAGGTGGAACTGTGTGATAATTATAGCCTGTATCTAAATCTACGAATCTACGATACACACGTTGTTTCAGCTAATAAAAGATTTTTATTTGTTTTCTTTTTGATGTTAAATTTTTTTTTTTTTTTTCGGAAAACACAGCACAACGAATTTCTTTTGTTGTCTGATTCTGGAAGGTCATGAAACAGAACATATCAGATTAAGTAGTTGACAGTTATGTTTGACCTAAGACCAAGGATCTCAAAGTATTTTTGGCCTTGGAAATCATAAAGATATTTATATAGTATCTTTTATTATTACCCCAATAAAATCTAAATTCACAACATTCTAAAAAAATAACACCTTTTTCAATTAATTTAGAAAAATAATGCATAAATTTAATTTAATTATTTTTTCATTCTTATCTTCAAAGTGTAAATGCATGTTTTTTTAGATAGGATTAAATCAATTATTTCCAAAATTATCCAAAGGTGACTAGATGAGGAATTGACTAGAATAAGAATTTAAAGCCCAAGACTATGTAACTAACTAATTATCAACGGTTGCTAAATTCTTTCAGTTCACATCATGCCTTAAGACTTCTCTTTTTGGTCAACCAAAAGCTTTCAATTTAACAATTAGTCTGTTCTTTTGGTCGCCGTAGGTAGTTGCGGCAGCGGTAGACGCAAGTGAAGTTGTTCGTTTGATTGACGCAAGTAGCTGCGAAAAACACTGTATTCTGCGGCTAAAAATTTTGGATGCTAATTAAAGTTAGCATCAAACGATTAAAAGCTGCGTTATATGTAGTAAATGACAAAAGTACCCTTAATATGTGTAAGAAACTACAAACAATCCTAACCCTATTTCTTCTTCTTCATTCTTTCTCTTTTACACGATTTCGATCTCAAGCTTTGGAAACCAATCTCTCTCCCTCGTCTCGATCTCGCGAAACCAATTTTCAGTGATGTGAGATCTCTCGTCCTTGGTTACTTCTGATCCGAAGTTGAATCTCTACCTCGCTAGCTTTTTGGGCAGAGCTTCAAGGTAATTTCGTTATTCAATGCTATTGAAATCTCTTGGGAATTTTGAGAATATTTTTGAATTGTGTTCTCTTAGCTTTTAGCTACTCTCAATGATAGGTTCATAACCAAGACTAAACCGGAGAAGACTTGGTCCAAGTGTCATAGATAAAAGATACGATCATGTGTTCCTAAGTTTTAGGGAAATGATCTCCACATTCCCATTTATCCATGTTCCTAGTTTGTAGGATTTGTGAATGATCCTTTTGCTTTCTTTGTGTATTTAAGAACTTCAAAGTCATGAGAATGGATTAGACTTGAAAATTGACAAAACAGAGTTTATCTCTTTACTCTTTAGTTACATGTTCTTATGTGTTCTTGTGTTAAACAAAACACTTCTCTCTGGCTTTGAGGAGGGACCACCTATCACTCATCAACTTGGTGGGTTTTTTTTCGTTATTCTCTAAGTATCCATGGAGCTTGTCTTCTCATTGATTCATAAATCCATCCATATTTCTGTTGCTTTGCAGAAAGTCTTGAAATTGTTAAAATGAATTAGTTTTGTTTTAGCTTTTCTGTTCTCTGTTTTTGTTATAGCTTTGATTTTGATGCAATGGATTAGTTTCTAAAGAGTTTTTGTACAATGGGTGTGTTTAGTTTTGCCGTTGTTGATTCTTGTATTTGGCATCTTGTATTCTTTGTTTTCTCTTCTTGATTGGTCAGATCCTTAAGAATCCATTAACCCATTTAACTTTTAGATTTTGTTTAGTGAAGATTTGTAGGGACTGGTTCATGTTTGATCTTTGGGGTTATCTTATATCTAGACGACATGTTCATGTTTGTATGTATAATTCGATTGTAGTATTGATACATTGAGAAGAAAACTGATTTGAGTTTATCTGGAACCTTTGATGAGGAGATTGTAGAGTCAATCACTTAATTATGATGTTGAGATTTGAGCCGTTAACAACAGATTATGAAACCAACATTGTATTATAGCTAAAGTTCAGGTATAAAGACGAAAGACATGACTTTGGGAGATTAGCTAAAAGCTAGTCTTTTTCTTGTTTGCGTCATCTGCTATTTTCCCATTATAGTTCATAAGAAACTTTGTTTTGAAGAACTTGTCAAGGGTTCACAGTATTGTAGTTCATAAGAGACTTTGTTTAAGGAAAGTTCATATTAGTTACTGTTTCATGTCTTCACTAACGCTTGTTAATTGACTCTCATGCTTTATGATTCTGTCTCTTGCTTCACGAAAGTAAAGTCCACCTTTAGTTGTCAAAATGAGTAGTACAACTAAAGGTTAGTACTATTGATATATGATCTCTGACGTTAAAGGCTTAAAGCTGAAGAAGAAGAAGAAGGAGAAGAAGGAGAAGAATAACATATTGCATATGAGTCGATCGGTGATAGAGGCATAGAGCGATGGAAGCTTAGCATGACAACATTACCAATGAATGTAATAAAGGTCGTTTACCTTATTAGATATTTTTTTATTTTTTTTTGTTTATGACTTGGTTTATTATTTATTTTAGTTAATGACTTTGTCTATCTTTATTGTTTATGACTTGGTATATTACGTTTAGTTAACTGTTTTGGTTTACTATTTTTATTTTAATTTAGTTCGTGATTTATCACAAAAAATTTTATTGTTATACTTATATACTCGATTTATCTGATTTATTTTTAAAACAAATAATTTTTTTAAGTTAATGGTTATATATTATATACAAAAATTTGCAAATTATATCATTATATAAGATATTTATATTTTATAATTTACAATTGTTATCAAGTAACGTTATACCACGGAATAATTTTTGTTTTGTACAATTTTATTTTAACCAGGATCATTCGATATGTCTAATATTGATGGCGTTAAAAATAATAAAATGAAGATTTAACACGTATTGATGTAAATTTTGTATCGGGTCGGGTACCAAAAATCTCGGATAAAATTTTAACCCACTAGTACAAAATGTACTTCAAAAATACTAGTATAGATTTTACTAAAAATTATTACTCATTACCAAAAAAAATAAAAACATTTATATGGATGTAAATATATTTAAATTACATATATATATTTCTTATATGGATGTAAATATATTTAAATTACATATATATATATATATATATGCTTTTTATATGTTCTTTTGATGTGTTGAATTTTGTTGTTGCATCCTAACGAGAGTAATTGATGAATGATATTTACAATTATTAAATTACCACAAGACAAATGCATAGAAAATCAAAGTAATACTTAAAATTCGAACTTCAGAATAACACACAAAGTATGAAAGAAACTATTTTAGTTATTAAAAAAAAAAGTAAATAAATTTTGGATTTTACGGCTATTTGAACTATCGACTAAAACAATTTACATAGGTTTAAGAGAGTAACAGGAAGTTGCCCTAACCGTGCTCCCAGTTACCGAGGCCTCTCCATCACTTACTATCTTTGACATTGGTGAAACTGGCTCGCTGGCGTTCGATCCTTTTGTGGTGTTAAACAATAGATCATCTCCGTTGCACCACGAATTTCATTCATCCATAAAATCCCACCATCACGCCTCACCTCCTCGAGATCTCAATTAACCCCGCACGTAGTCCTTGAAGCCAAACATCCTACTTTTCTTAGATCACTGCTTCATCCAGCGAACTTACAAATACATATTCATCAAATACCACATGATCAAAGCATAGCTTACCTCACCATACAACGCAAAAACTGTATAAATTTTTATTCAGATAACTTCCCAAAGATTCAGTGTAACAGGAAATAGGTTAAATAATTCGACATGTCGTGATTTCGATAAGAAAAGAAACAACAAGTGTTTATGACCTTTTATTAAATAAGTAAATGTGGCAATGAGCATCAAGATAAAAAGAATTCAATGTGAGGACAATGCCTACATTTTTGTTCTTTATTGTTGGACCTGGATTTCGCACCTCGAAATCCATTGGCGAAAATATCAAAAGGGCTTCATGCAATGGGCCCGGCCCGACGGCCTACAAGGAGCCAAAGGAGATTTGATGATGACGATTGACTAAGTCAGCGAAGATCTTAGAGAAGACCTGATATCTATGAGAGATTGGCGCGGATCTCGGATGAGACGACCTAATTCGAGGACTTATATAAAAACGGAAAGACACCTAGAGAAGGATCATCGCCTACTTGCCTACTAAGACCTAATACTCAAAAACACTTGTATTCACGTACTTTTCACTGTATTCACCTGATTGACATCAGTAAAATCCATTCATTCTTAGCAATTCAATTCTCAGAGTTTCATTGCAAGTCAAGCCCTCTTTGACCATAAAACTAAGTACAAATCTTGAGTGTGGATTTCATCACCCACATTTATCTAATTATCCATGTAAATTATATAAGAAATTTATGGCCTATAATTCTACTACCTATTTATTTAATCGTCTTATGTAATTGTCTCTCATGTCTCAAAAATAATTTGTGCATGTACAAGACTGTACACATTAGAATTAACTAAGGGGTCTATTGATGCGGACATCCAAATCAAACCAAACCGGGAATATACCAAACCAACCAGTACATGTATCAAACCAGTTGATATGGAGCATTTTAGACGATTCTTGCCCAAATGGAGTCATAATCAAGCACAAGGCCTAGGGTTAATTATTCACCAGCAAATTAATCCTAAGAAGACAAACGATAGTTCAGGAAGAATCAAAGACCAGCAAGCCGAATCACCATGTTGGAGAAATTTGACCGTTGCACTCTTTTTCCCTTATCTAGGGTTTTTAACGAGGCAACATCAAGTCATCAAGGAATCATTTACCAAGAAATTGATTCGAAGATGTTACAAGTACATATAGCTGATGTACTTGCTGACAGACCGGCTGCACTACTTGCTGAACTACTCGCTGAACTACTTTCTGAAGTACCGCACCAAATGAAGCCAAATAAGGAAATCTTCCTTATTCTACACTTGGACGTGCCTCAAAGCTTTATTTGGCGACCTGGAGAGTATCTAGATCACTTAGAGGCTTCACTACACGCTCTAAGATACACCACACCACATTTGATCAAGCGGATCGATTCTGAGCTCTACTTACCATATTTGGACCCGATTGTCATCAATGTCCCATGGATCTTTCCCCTTTTGTTTGAGCGTCCACTTAAGATATTCCAGAGCATCAAGAAGCTTCCAAGACGTCACAACTTCCTCCCCAAGTTGACAAGATACAAGGCACACCTCACTTGCCTTATTTGGACCAACGACCATATTTTCTTTTAATGTTGCGATTTGTTTCTTTGTTTAGCTTTTAGAACGTTTGTACTCAGCCTATATAAGCTGATCATTAGTCTCATTGTAAAGCACCCTTGATCATTTTTAAAGTAATAGAAACGTTTTCTACTTGTCAAAGTTTGAGTCTTTGTCATTGTTTTGTAGTTCTTTGTGAGTGAGTCACCAAGTACTTCAGGATTCTGCGGATTAAGTTTGTTGAGTGATTCAACATCCTTCATTCGTTCATTGATCGAGTGAGTCGATTATCCCACTGATTGAGCGAGTCAATCACCCTTCTATCCATTAATTCCCCTTGAATCGATCCCACACGAGAGAAGCGATCGCCATCGTGTCAGATCACCACCTTCATCATCCCACCTTCCGCGTGAAAAGCTTGGAATCTCTTGATCATCAAGTGATCTAAAGTTGGAGTGATTCCAATCTTGCATCATCTAGTATCAGAGCTTCAAAAGCTCCTATCCCCAAAGTTGTATCTTTTCAACCTATATCTTTTTTATTTTTCAATTTTGTTATTTAATTTTTATAAATTTGAAAACCAAAAAAAAAAAAAAATTTGTTTCTTGCTTTGTTATTGTTTATTTGCTTCAGTACTTTCATTAAAAAAATATATATATATTTGCTTCAGTTTATTATTTATTTTATAATTATTATAAGAAAAATCCATAAAAAAATCATATTTTTTATTAGTTTTCGGAATTTTATTTTTATAAAATCAGAAAAGAGAAATAAAAATTGTTTTTCCTTTATATTTTCGATTTTGATTCAAAAAAGAAAAGAAAAACAAAATAAAATATTTATTTCCTTATTTTTTGTTTATAATTATTGTTCTTGCCATATTTGTTGAACTAGTGTTTGACACACTTTTCCTTTTTATGTGTCTGTGAGGTACGGTTCTTAAAATTTAGAACGAATATGGAGTCCATTGAGTTCTATTCGGATGAAAAAATCCAAGGAGAAGAGCCTTACCAAGTCATGTCGGATGAGGAAGACGATTATGGAAGCATCTCTTGGCATCACAATGATCATTCAGATTCTGAATCAAGAGATGAATCAGGCCGTGAAGCACCAGAACCGGAACTGCCTGACTCATACAACACCAATACAGGCTATTCTAAACCATGGATTAAATTTAATGATGATTTTTGCAGCCATGGTTCAAAATCTCCATTGACTCGAGCTATGTCTTTTTCAGAAAAAAAGAATTACCTTAAATGGGAAGATGACATGGAGTATAAAGGGGCAACGGCGAAGGAATACAATTGCCAACGTCTTCCAAGGCATGAAGAGAAGCTTGACCATCACACCTTGTTATACCGAGGGCCTACAGCCTCACGTCAAGCAAAACCGAGACACAAGTTCTTTCACACAAATACACGAGTAGTACAGGAAGTGACTCAAGAAGTGACTTAGAGATCATCAATGTGGCGTAAACCATATCCCCGTGGTAGGCGTGACTACCTAGCTGAGAGAGACTCAGGGATCACTAATCTAAGAGGAGGCGAGCTGAAACGTGGCACTCGTCGAGACCCACTACTATCCAATCCCACCCGAACCTACCAAACAAAACTCAAGTTATCTCTAGACAATGGTTATGAGTATTTTGGACCTGAATCTTTTGACTTTGCAGGACGTGAAAGAGATTATCTGCAATGGGAACTCAACATGGATAAGTACTTTAGATACTATTCCATTCCCAAAGAAGAGAGGCTCAACTATTGTCTTGAACAACTCATGGGAAGCGCGAAACGTTGGTGGGACCGAGAAGAAAAAGATAGACGATGGTTCAAGGAGCCAGCACTCAAAACGTGGGGACAACTAAAGATACTTATGAGGGAGAGATATGCACCTCACAGTCTTCCCCAACCTGGTCAACACACTTACCATCCAAAGGAACCAAGCCGAGAGAACACTACACATCAACGTGTTAGTTCCAATCAAATTGCGGATCAAGATCCCGCTAAGAAGAATGAGAAAGGTACATGTGCAAAAGGAGAACCGAGCTCCATACCGGTACTTGAACCACATGCTGAACCACATGTTGAAACACATGCTGAACCACATGTTGAACCACATGTTGAACTAAAGCAAGGTATGTCCTATGATTCATTAAAATCAAATGAACCAACATGTTATAGATGTCATAAGAAGGGACATTTTGCTGCAACTTGCTATAAAAGATAAGTAGAGGATGTCATATAATTGAAAGTGGATGCATCTAACTTCAATGATTGTCTAGTGAATTCAAGTTTAGAAATTCCCAATTCTAGATTAATGCGCTTGTCTTTGCCAAAGGTTATTGATGCAGGT